CAGATATTTTATTTCATGGAAAATTTTTTTAGAATACTTATTCCATTGAAAACTATTTTTTTTATAGAAACCTGATTGTGCACTATTACCGTTTATTCAAACTTCCTGACTTGGCTTCCTGTTTTATTTCTGTGTATTTTTCAAAAACTTCGATATCTCAGTAGGAATCAAACAAAACTTTTTCTTGGCCCAGTTTTTTTTACAAAAACATTCGTTTTTGTGTTTTTAAGCAGATTTCATTATTTTTTTCAAAATAAGCAAGGACTGTTTTTACATCCGGTGAAATCATTTTTCATAAGATAAAATATTGTTTGAATCAACAATTGTCGAAAAATAAATAGGTCTACTCCAGATTTATTGTTTCCACCGAATTTCAATTTTTAATAATCTATTAATAATTTTCTGACTTGATTTGGTTTCTCATTTAATTTTTGCTCTGATGATTCCTATGTGAATTGTATTTCTTGGAGAGATGAATTGATTTCCTTATAGGAATAGTCGAACAAAATGTTCACAAATAATTCTTTTTGAAAACATCGGTTTTTGTTTTTTTATGTTTTTAAAAATATTAGGGAAACATTGAGTGGAATGGACTCTTCTGACCTCTTGTTTCAATATTTATAACCAAGGAACAAATTTATCGATTGAGCTGAGTCTAAGCTTATTACAAAAGGGCTGACTGTACTTTAATTTAAAAAAAAAATCTATTTCATCAACACTTCAATAAGACATCAAAATTTTGAAAAGGTTTCAAAGTGTCCATTTAATCCCACCGTCTCCTACTAATTTTTCCTAAATAATCACAAAATTGTTCGCATTTCACTGTCACATAATTTAGAGAATTTTTTTTCCACGGATTGAAAACATTTTCTGTTACACTCGGAGAAAAATAAATTTTTTCTTTTCGAATTTAACTATTCACAGACATTTAATACTTGATCACACAATATTTTCGACACATCTCACTTTTGTCACATTCCAAATAAACCGATAACCTCACAAACAGTGCATAAACTACCTTTGATGAGTTCCGCATATGAATATAGATATGGCGGGATGAAATTCGAATTTTCGACGAGAGAAACAAAATAGAACACCGAGTCGATTTTCCGTTTCATTCTAATAAGTGATTTAACGTGAAGAAGAACATTTCCCGTGGTTCTCCATAACATCACAACCCACATTCAAATGCACTGGTGGCAACACTTCAACGTTGGACATGAGGCGCAGTCAGACTGGCGCTGCCAACATTACAACTTGATTTTCTGACTTTATAATGTGAATCGCGAGAATGTGAATGTCAACCCGTTGCTATGCGCGTATTTTTTTTACTGTTAATCCAAAAAATATCATAGTTACACCGTTGAAAAGCTCATAGCCGATTTATATAATATAACTAACGACACTTTCCCGATTTGTCGTCCCGTTTTCATTATACCGCATGTAAATTATTTAGAGGTAGTGGAAGGGGAAGTAGGGGAAGTTCTGGATCTCTGGAATCTCTGGATCGCTCTAGGAATGACCGAGACCCTAGTAGAAATTTCACAGCGCGGAAGCGTCACGGCGCTGCTCGCGTGCGACATTCCAAGTTATAGGCATAGGCACTGTTCACTCGCACAATGTCAAGATACTGAGGAGGTGATTGTCGGAAAGTTTTTTATAATAAATGATCAAGAGTTTGTTAGATTTAATAAAAATGTTTATAATTTATTCACTGCACTTGTACACTTGATAACAACTAAAGTCTATGAGATTAAATTATTGCAATTAAAGGGATATAAAAACGACGAGATTAAATTCAGAGGTATCGAGGAGGAGTCCGTTGAATGCTCGATAATGTCACGAGGGCTGAAAGAATAACTATTTATGTTGAAAGACGAATATTGAATTTAACTGAAACGCAGTGTAATTCATTTTATCTTTGAGAAAAATGATTTTAATGACAGAATTGAACAGTTGTAAACTAAGACAGATACTGATTTGAAAATGGCAGAAGCTAGGGTTTATATACTGAGTCACGGGCCATGAAGAAAGATTATTGCAAATTGAGTATTTCGGGGTTCCAAGTTTTCCGACGATAGAAATGCCGCGTTTCTATTGGTTCGGTGATGTGGGCCTGGGGGAAGCGTTGGAAGCAAATTAAGACCGCGTGGATACCTGGAATGAGGATATGGGAAATTGCCAATACTTGAAATTCAAAGAGGGCTGGGAAAACTGAGTCGTTTGGGACCGTTATGCGCAATAATCATTGAGGTAGTTCTTCCAGACCTTCATGTTTGTAGGCATAAACCGGCTCAAATGTGATAACTGTTTTGAGTGGAGGCTATCCACATTGACAAGCGATGATTGAAATTTCTAGAATTCGGGAAAATATCAACCCTAATAAAATATTCACACAGAGAGAAATATTCAATAAAAATTACGTATCTTTTCCATAATTCCGGATCGAAATGTGGTTGTAGAAAATTTTACGGAACTGTCACGGATTTTTTCCGGAGCGTTCCGTAATTTTTATCTGAATCTCTTGTGAAAAATTACGATACTGTCACTTAAATTTTTTGAGTCGACTCCGTAATCGGTGAGTGAAGTGAGAGTTCCGTAATTTTGACTGAACATTTCTCTCCGTGCACTAGAGAGAATATTTCGATATTTTATTTGGGAAAAGATTTCAAATGTACGAAAGTAATAAACGACGGGAAAATTCGATCATTAGTGACAAGAGACAAGAGATTATAAATACTTCGCCGAACATCCGCAATAAAACGATTTACGCGTGGGGAAATAAAACTAATGAAAATTGGAATAGTTAATTCCCGGGATTGGTGAATTGAACATTTTGGAGTAAAAATTAATAATTCGAAACAAAAACAACTTCTGCGACAGAACAGGCACTTTGGCTCAACGTCGCAAAATTTCGTTCAATTTCTACTACGGGAATTCCTTACACTACTGAATTTAAGTACGATGATATTGACCTCATCAAGAAACAAAAACAAAGATTTGTCTCACGAAGAACGGTGTTAAGTCCAGTCGGACTTCAATCAAGTCGAGCTTGACCTGAATCGCGTTGAGCTGTACCTAAGTTAAGTCACTAACTCGATTTTTCATTTTTTTGGGTTTCCATTTTTTTGGGGATCCAAATTGCCGAAAACCTCTCGGAATGAGTAGATACTCATGTCAAGTCAGGGTATTTAGTTCCAAAAATTAGTTCATTTCGCATGATTCACACTAAATATTTTGAAAAATCTTACAACAAAGGTCAAACGAACTACTACAATATGAAAATAAAAAGGATCTCGATTAATCAAAAATATCTTAATTAATAAGAAAAAACGGTTGAATATTTGCAAGTCAATGCCAAAAATACCGTTAATCTCGGTTGAATGCATGCGATGGATAAAATACAAATACCAATTCGTAGAGGTGGAACTACACGGAGAGAAATTTTTGATAAAAATTATCCTATCGTTCTATAAAAGTGTATCATGAGTCATCGTTTCCTCATTTCTATCCCGAAATTTAGTAAAAATTAATATATGATGATCAAATTTTATTCTACGTTAGAGAAGTTTTATCCTGACGCATAATAAATTTTCCCATTCCAGTCCAATCATTTTTATGTAGCTAACAACGAAAATTCTAGAACGGTTGGTAAATTTTACCCTACCGGTGCAGTAATTTTTATTCTACCGGCGCGGTAATTTTTATTTTTATCAGGATAAAATTTCTCTAACGTAGAATAAAATTTGATTATCATATATTAATTTTTACTAAATTTCGGGATAGAAATGAGAAAACAATGACTCATGATACACTTTTATAGAACGGTAGGATATTTTTTATCAAAAATTTCACTTCGTGTAGTCGAGTAAGAGGGTCAGATTATCCCCTGAAATCAACAATTTATTAGTAATTGATTCCCAAAGAATCGGCCACCAGGAGCGGGCGCCAGGGAGATAATTCTAGAGCTTATCGTTTCTAATTTATAGAGAATTATTAACCGTACCAATCAGAATTTTCATCTTTTCCATGGAAATTGAACACAAACTATGAGTGTTTTTATTCAATTTTAATCCAAAAATTTTCAACTGTCCTCTTCTTAATTGAACATACAGTGGATAAGATTTCAGCGTCGACTAAGATTTTAGCGTCGGAGGTACGAATTTTACGAATTGAAGTGTTCGGAAATGCCTTACTCATACGTCGACGGTTTGACGGAGGAGAGAGAGAAACCGAGAGGGAGAGAGAGAATCTGTCTGTTCCAATCCTTCTGTATCGCCAGTGATGGAAATCCCTGTCACGCACAAGAGCCCATACACTGTTGGAAATTTTTAGAAATTTCATGGAAAATATGGTCATAATTCTCATGAGTGTGATATTTACTCCAATTTAGGGGCAAAATGACAATGCAATTTCAAGTTTTAGGTAGAATTCAAGGAAATCTATGTTTTCACTGATAGTGAGATGCGAATTTCACAACTTGATTGGACTTTCAATAGAGCAGGAATATTCAGAAAAAAATGACATGAATTTTCAATTTTTCTCTGAATTTTCCTCAATTTTCCGAATTTTTATTGAATAATTGAACTAAGAAATCAAGTATTCTATTGCTTTTCAGATCATTTGAGCAGACAATCAATGGAATATCCGATTTTTCAATGACAAGAATTCCGGAAATTTCAGTGGAAATTAAAAATGATAAAAATTTGCGGGGTTTGACACGGAAAATTTAGACAAATTTTTTCAACAGTGTACAATATTCACATGCTTAGATTGTTAATGGTAGGGGAAATCAACTTCCCCAACTGAAATCTTAGAGAAGCGAAATCATACAGAGTATACACTGTATTTTTTCTTTATCAAGAGTCTCTCTATTTTGGTATGCTGCTCAGGGTAATCTTTTGCATATTTAGTATAAACTTTCAAATCTAAGTTTACCGTACTACTTGGCTCGACGCATCAAGGTTTTTGAGTAAAGTCACGATTGCTCTTAATTTCAGTTCAGATAAATCCTACATGGTTGAATGCTTCCGACAGACCATACTTAATTGGAGGGCCCTTGCAAGGTCAATACATCCTAGAACAATTTCATTTCCATTGGGGACAGAATGACAGCGTTGGAAGTGAACACACATTCAACGGACAAAGGTAAAACAGTGAGCAAATATTAAAAATAACGCCTGAAAAATAATCTATTTCGATCCGATGATCATGAAATGTATCCATGTGAAAAGAGTGAGGGATGCCCCAGTGTGTTTAGTCCAGTCAAATTAGACGCAAAAATTGCCGAACCGGTAAATAATTTCACCGCGTATGAATAAATACCCATTCGATCAATGAAAATGTCCTGAATAACATATAAAAATGATCAAACATAGATCGGCGCAGAAAATATCTAAAAAAATTAAAAACGAAGGATTTTTGTTGGGGTTAATGACAAAAACATTAGTAATTTCGACCAAACTCAACGGATTGAAAACAAAATTATACCCAATTGTAGACGTTAAAAACTCCACACACAACTGATATATGATATGATGTTCTAGGATGAATTGTTTTTTCGTAAAAAAACGTCGGAAAATTTGTTAACCCCAATTTCGTGATACTTCCAGCGTCTTTCCCGAGGCTCCGCCCCTTTCGCCGTGCGCACCTCAATGGAAAGAGCGGTATGCGCAGCAGATTCAAATCGACATGTACTCAATTATTCAGTCAAGTGCGTGACGATATTGCGATTTTCCGCCCTCAAATCCAATTAATTTACTTGAAAATTCAGAGAAGCACAGAAATATAGGTGCATAAATTTTTTTCTATAGAGACACTTTACTACCAATGTCAATTTGTTATGAATAAACATTTGGAATGATATCGTTAATTTTACATTAATAGATAATAATAACTCAGTGGAAAATTTAATAATTTTATACAATTTTTCAGCATTTTGATGATTCATCAGTCGTCATTGAGATTATAATACTACGTTCTAATGCTCATTCCAATTAAAAATATGTGTAAACTTTTCATTTTTGAATAAATAATTAAGGTTGGTGAAGGGAAGAGTCGAATACGTGGAGAAAAAAGTCTAAAAGTCTAAAACACTAGATTTTGATATTTCTATAGAAATTCTTCAGCGTCAATTTTCAGAGTTTTTTCCGCTGTTTGTTCAGTTCCCATAATACTATAAAAAGAAACTTTGAAAAATCGCCAACTATTAATATTATTAATATAGTTGACGCAAAAAAATACTTTTCATATAATTACTGTGAAAAAAACAAATCGAATTTTTTTCCATTTTGAGGCGCGTGATCATAAATTAAGACTCTTTTTACAGTTTAAGTGTGCGCGTAGAAAGAGGGGCTTACGGAATCAGCTGATCATTTTACCACATATGGGGTAAAAATACTAAATAATTTATTACGGCATAACTAGTGAATGTGGACTATTGGTTTCTAACTTAACTCATTCTGTAGATACTTATTCCCTCTACACGCTGATATTTTTTTCTCTATAATTGATTGAATTTAATTGAAGCTACGTGGATTCTTGGCGTTCGCCTGCGAACCCTGATCTTTTTTAATTTTTTTAGATATTTTGTGCACCGATCTATGTTTGATCATTTTGATATGTTATTAAGGACAATTTTGTCTATCGAATGGGTATTTTTTTATACGCGGTTAATTAAAATAGCATCTACATGCCAATTTGACTGGACCATTAGGAAAGCGTGGTAGCGCACGTACGCCACTACAAAATGGTCGAAATTTAAGAAACGCTTGAAATCAGAATGGGTTAATATGAAATTAAAGAGTACACATCTAAAAAATTTGAGGAAAAATTCCATGGCAAAAAGTCAAAGTAAGGCAGAAGGAACTTTTTCGTCATATCTGCACGGAAAGTTCGATTTTCCTCCCCAAATGGCGGAAGGACAGTGGCTTATTCCATTCCTCGGATTTCTGTTGTTTTTGACGATCCTCGGAATGACATAACCTACGTTCCTCCCTGCATACCGTGCAGTTATGACGAAAAAGAGTATGTGTACCTAGGAAGGAAACCAGGACATCAAAACCCGCATGTTTACTACCCTCGGCTTCACCTCGGGCAGTAATCCACATGCGGGTTAGAATGTCCTGTTTTCCTCCCTTGGTGCACAATCTACTATTTTTCATTTTTCCTTCTAGAAATTCTATGGAGCGGCACAAGAGCTATTTGGTTCTAAACCCCACTCACAATGTGACCCTGAAAATCATAATCGGCACAATAAATTCATTTCTCACACACTTGCACGGAAAATTCGTACTTTACACCCTGATGTACAACTTTCTACCCCCGAGCGGAAAGTATTCACTTTCCTCCCGCTCATCTCAAAGCCAAACACCAACTTTTCATTGCAGGCGTGTTAAAAAATAGTATGTGCACCTCGGGCGGGGAAAACATGACTTTCCGCCCTTGGTGCCCAATATACTATTTCACACACCTGCACGGAAAGTTCGTAATTCGTTCCCTGATAAGCGGGAGGAAAGTGAGTACTTTCCGCTCTAGGGTGGAAAGTGAATCTCTCGGGCGGAAGGTACTAATTACTTTCCGCCCAAGGGCGAAAAGTCAGTACTTTCCTTTCGCTCATCAGAAAGAAAAGAACAAATTTTTCTTTGCAGGCGTGTTAATATAGTACATTGTGTACCAAGCAAGGAAAACAGGACATTCCAACCCACGTGTGGATGACTGCCCCGGCGAAGCCGATGGCAATAAACACGGAGGTTTGAATGTTTTTCTTGCTTCCTAGGGGCACATATTATTTTTCGTCATAACTGCAGGGTATAGTTCGATTTTTCTTCATAAATACAGGGAAGAACGTGGGTTATGTCATTCCGAGGATCGTCAAAAACAACACAAATCCGAGGAATGAAATGAACCACTTTCCGCCCGTCATTTGGGGAAGAAAATCGAACTTTCCGTGCAGATATGACGAAAAATAGCATGTGCCCATTGGGCAGGGATAACATGACTTTCCGCCCTTGGCGCACAATATACTAATCTCGTCTCTCGTTTCGAAATGAGGGATGAAATTAAATGCAATTCATTAGACATTCAATGCCTCCCCCCCCCCATATTAAAAAGAAAAAGGGATTTTTTTTACACACCTGCATGGAAAGTTCGTACTTTCCTCCCGATCATCAGAAAGCAACAGCTTTCCTTTGCAACCGTGGTAAAAAATAGCATGTGTACCTCGGACGAAGAAAAGATTTTTCGCACTTGGTCCTCAATATATTATTTCCAACGGGACAAATTTTCTGATTAGCTGTTCTTTTTCAATTAATAACTCATGAACAAAGCGCTGAAAAAATTAGTATATTTCTAACCTACCCGGATAAAAAAAATCCGTCTTTGGAAGATCTTTGTAATTTGCGCCCGTCGGGGCGGAAAACATTCTATTAAAATTTTCGTCTTCGAATAACCTTACTTGACCAACCCTCGCAGTATATACGTTTAGTAGTGGAACACATTGTACAAGGTATCTCAAAAAAGGCGAAGATTACTCTCTTCTGAAAGGTGAAGATAGTTCTATTTTTTCTTTCTTTCAATTTTCTCTTGATCATTCACAGAACTGCGATGGAATTGCACATGGTTCATTGGAAAAGCGACTACGGTGCATTCGAAGCAGCGGCGAGTCAAGCGGATGGATTGGCAGTGATTGGCGCCCTTTATGATGTATGATTTTTGTCTGATATTCTGAGTACAGAGTGACCATACCTAATTATTCGGATTTCAGCCCATTTCCGCAAAATCGTCTAATGGAATAGAGCAGACCTGGAGACAACTAGAAAATCTTCGACAGACAAATGCTGCGACGCGAGTGGAACCATTTCCCTTATCCGATTTCGAAGTGGTCAATTCTAAGGACACGTACGTAAGCTACTATGGATCATTAACAACGCCTGGATGTAATGAAGTTGTTACGTGGCTAGTGGCACTTGATTTGTTCTCCATCACAAACGATGAGGTAATTTTAGAATAATAAGAATTTGCTAGTTTCTAGTGGGAATATTTTATCTGTACCCAATCGCAATTTTTATACTTGATTCTTTTTGTTAACAGCTGCAGCAGATCAGATCGGTTGGGCTAAGTCACGGTGATGATCATAATTACCGACCTGTGCAGAACTTAAATGATCGTTCTTTCGCCTATTACCGTTCAAACTGAAGCTTCGGTTACTGCTCAATTCATTGAGTACCCCAGAAAAAGTCCTTGGGACGGACGTTCATCTAAAAATTGGGAAGCAATTTCCCGTGAGATATCTTCGAGCTTGAAATTCAAAAGATCCTTCATGTCTCAACCGACAGTCAACTGTCCATTGATTTCAATTTTTTTTTCTGATGGTCTACCTATGTAAGCATAGATAATAATAAATGGGATACAACATCTGCAATTAAATAATTGTTTTTTTTACTTGTAATAGTATTTAGCGCTGCAACTGGCCACCACCGGTGGGTTTTCAGTCAAATTGATGATGAAATGATGTCAAAATGATTACGCGCATGTAATCAGCTTGCCCTTCTGTCCGAATTTTGCAACTGTCGTGGGGAAAGTTGGATATATGTCCACGGTGACACAAATACAAATGAAAGATTTTGTAGTTGCGGGCCCAGTAAAATATGCAACAAGAGAGGAACGTCCGTTAATCTTGCACATACAATTCATTTATTTATTCATTTATTTCTTCAATTAATACAAAACCAATCGGCAAGAACACCTACGAAGCTACTGTTTTCAATCATAACGAAATACATCTGTTGTATTATGGCTCATGCGCAATTAGTTCAGTAAATAAGGATATTCTGCTAATGTTTTGAACAATAACAACAGTCCTATTTAAGACCGAAGCCGAATCACTACTTCAATCATAGTATCATTGGAATGTTCCACTTCACATAAGAAGTCTAGAGTACCAATAAATTTAGAAGGACTTGAGGATCAGTTGTAAGTATTCTGAAATTTGGCCGGTCCACAGAGAGAAAAGTTTAGGAATTTGTGTGGGAAAATTTCGGTAAAAATTGTATTGCTACACTGAGAAGTACTGAGAAATTTCTAATATTTGAAACATATTTACTTGAAACAAGTCATTTTTATTTTCAATCGTTTAATTCTCCCGGGCCTCTTAATTCACGTGGCTCGAGAAAGGTCTCTACACTAAGAGAAAAATCGAAATAATATCACAAAAATCATTTCTTCAGCGAAAAATATCCCATACATACTTGATCAATTTATGGTAGGTTTCAGGCAAGAAATCGGGTAAATGTGCATATTGACTACCTCACCCAGAATTAATTTCAAATTGAGGCCTAGGTGACAATGGCTCTTCAATATATTCTTTAATTCCGGCCTTTTGTGTCGGAAAAGCACCAGTGAATAGATTTTGAATAGAAAGAAACACAAACAACACTTGTGTTTACATTCCTCGGAATGTAGTAGAGACTGTTGCTACTGAGTATGCACGTGTTCCTATCGGTATTTCGGTAACGTGTTGACGCGGTCAGTCGTTAGAAGCCGGTGGTCGAGTGAACATGCGATTATTTGAGATATATGATTTGTGCTCCAAGCCGAGTGAGCTCATTAAATTTTTACAAAATCGCCAAGTGTTAAGTAGTGAGATGACGTGCCCGAAGTGTGGTGGTGTTATGAAATTCGACGAACCGAGGATGGCATTCCGGTGTCGAAAAAGGACAATCGAATATGATGTACATAGGAGAAAACGGAGTGTACAGTACGATACATTTACCAGTGTTTCATGGATCATGGTTTGCTGAAGCCAGGATGCCGATCTCGACGGCAGTCAGATTCATAGGACTATACATAATGAATGACTCCCCCAAACAAGTTTACTTCGAATACGAATTAAAGCTGGCCAGACACACAGTGGTGGACTGGTCCACCTTAGTTCGAAAAGTATTTATCGATTGGTGTGAAGACAGATCCGACATGATCGGAGGCTGTGCGATCACAGTAGAAATCAACGAGACCAAGATTGGTCACCGAAAAATATAACAAGGGGAGAGTAATAGAAGGAAGATGGGTGTTTGGAGCCTCCGAAAGAGGGTCCAAAGCACTAATGATTACTGTTGTCGAGGATAGGACTGCTGCAACTCTTATCGATATCATAAAACGATGGATTAGACCTGGAACGACCATCATGTCGGATCGATGGAGAGCATATCACTCACTAGACACTGAAGGTTTCAGTCATCTAACTGTTAACTATACTCTCAATTTTGTGGATCCCCTGACGGGTGCATACACGCAAAATATTGAGAGATCGTGGAGAGACCTCAAAGGATCACTTAGGAGGTATGGCACTTGTGACGAGCACTATCATGGATATCTTTGTGAATTTCTGTTCAGGCGAGCGGTGGCTTTCGATGACAGATTGAATGAATTCCTCAGCACTGTAAGTAGACATTATCCACCTTAGTCTAACCCTCACCAACAAAAAGAGGCTGCTCGGTGTGGTTTGCTTAAGACAATCTTGTGAAATTTCAGTTTTGCTGTAAGAAGGGCAGCGGAGGTATTGTTGTATTGAGCGAGGCATATTGTGAATATGCTTCTAACCCCCTCTCGTCATTGTCCATTGTCTTATTTGTACCAACATGTGATGTCTGAGGGGTCAGACACCGCCACGTCCACGTCGTTGACCCTGGGTAACACTGAGAGCGATGAGGTAAGTAGCCTAATATTCATTAAATCTACACGTGTTTTAAAGCCTTTCCGACAGTTCAAAGTGACTTTAAATAACAAAAAATAGGCTGCGACATTGTTTCAGAAAGGTTCAGTTGAAATTGGAGGTGAGGTAGCTAATCTGCACATTTACCCTGTTTTAAAATATTCTCATACTTAAGTATGATTTTGTCGCAAATGAACGCATTCGAATCGCGTAGAAAAATTGTCAATTTTTAAGTAAGTATTGTTTTCATAATTTTTTGTATGCACTTCCAATTTTTCTATATGTAATATATTCGTATTGTAACGCGCAACGACAGTGATAAGTGGGAGTTTATTCGAGTGTGGTGACGCGCAAATATTTTGCGTGAAGCTATTGAAAATTATTTACTTCTCTCAAGTAAATATGGTCTACATATTAGGAAATTTTTCTCCCAGTGTAGAATCTGTACTTGAATTAACCCTAGTCTGGTCACCTGACGGGAAAATGCGACTTTAGTCACCTTCGCGGGAGAGTGCCGCCGTGTTATTTAGGCTCCAGCGTTGCCGAATCCACTCTACACTTCCCGGACGCGTTTAGCGAGTTCTCAGCAATGTCGCGCAACAGGCAATTTCATTTAACACGGGAAAAAGTTGTTCACCTATTGGAAATAATTGTTTTTCTCCCAGAATTAAGGAAATCAAATATTGAAAAAAAATACTAGAATTTTCCAGATACTTCAATTGACGAATTCAATTTTTCTCAAATTTTTCCGGTCAAAAATCGACGTTTGCGATTAATCGATAAACATCGCCTATCACTACAAAACAGTCTCTGCTTTCAGAATTTAATTATGTTTATATCTCTCGGCTAGGGAAAAAATAACAAAATGGCATGAATATGGTTTCAGTGAATTTTTTTTCGTTTTGTGGGTTTTTTTTTTAAATTATATCAGGGTATAATAATAATAACACGAGAGTTTCTATGTGAAATCATCAATTTCCAATTCTCATATTTTGAGTGAAAATCACTCGAACTATCCATGTATCAGCATTAAAATAACGATCTAGCACAGGTCATCTTGTAGAGCACATATTTGAGAAAATTTTCGGTGTGATCAGTGTTATAGTAGCGGTAATGCAGCAATTCATTAAAAATAATATCTTATTAGAGGAGAAAGTCAGATTCTTCTTAAAACCTTAATATCAATGTAACTGGAAGAAATGAAAATAACAAAAAATCGACGAATTCAACGAAGTCTCAACAATCAATCCCTTCCACGTTTTAATGAATCTTCTGAGAGTCGTAAACATCTCTCCGTAATACTTGCGAGTGGTTCTTATAAATCCTATATGTTCTTCCTAGTGTCGTTCTTGCACTTGAACCTTGAATTTGCCTTGCTAATTACGGGCAGTGAATGGGCTTCTCTTTATTTTTTGTTTCTCATTCTTTGGAATGTTATAAATGAAATCATGACTTTTTTGTGGACTTTTAAATGGATCAACTTCCTGCATGAATCCTGAAACCATACGGTAGAGAGGTAGAAATCATAACGAAAGAGTAATACTCCACTAATGTACCCTAGAAGAAAGATATAAAAAGGTGTGTAGGTAGCTAGCGTCGTTAAGATTGAAGTACTTCGACCTGCCGACGATGGTGGCCGTAGTGGTTAGAACATTGCTTGGCTGAATTACGGACCCATGAAAAAATTGCAATCATTGAATGCCTAGGCTTTTTGCTTCGGAATGGAAGCTTTGTAAATCCGATTTTTTTCGATTCTCTAATTTTGGTGGAGAATGACTTAGGGGGTCATGAAACGTGGAGAAATAATATTTTTAGCGAGTGTCTGTATGGATGTGTGTGCGTACGTATGTATATGTGTGTGCACTGAGAAAAAAAGTTATTTTGCTAAGGGGTCATTTTCTTTTGGGAAAACGTTATTTTTTTAGGAGCGTATTTATCCAGGCCAGTCGCTCTCAGGTGGTACAAGTCCATCTTCAAATGGTACAATTATGTTGAATTATGTGATGATTACACTACATTTAACCTTGAATGAACTCCATTAACAGTTGTTAATATTTAGAATTATTCCAAATTATTTTACGTAAGAAAACCTCAAATTTGAAAAAAATGAAAGACAATGAAGAGTGTTCATTGAAAATCATATGTAGCATAATCATCTCATAATTTAACATAATTGTAATATTTGAAGATGGACATTGGACGTGAACCACCTGGCAATGACTGGCCTGGAGAAATACGCTCCTAAAAAATAAATTATTCTCCAAAAAAGATTATGCCTTGGCAAAAGTAAGTTTTTTTAGTCATTCCGGCCGCGAGGCAGCGCCCCGAGTCGAATAATTGGACCTGATAAGTTCTACTTAGGTCTTTCCGTTCAGAACTGGATAGGTCTTGGGAAGCCTCATCGCAAGTGCTTCCGAGACCTTTCTATCTCTGGTTATGTCCCATTTCAGCATTTGTTAGGTGTAAGCAGGACTTGTATTCAGACTTTCCAAATCCTTGCCGGTCACCGTAATTCTATGGGCCTATATTAAATCTGCGTTCATATCCCTGTTTACTCATGCGTTATTGAAATAAAAAATGCAATTATTGTTTTTTTTTTAATCTCGAAAATCGACATTTCACGAGAGGAAGGAGGGGAGATGCATGTATGTGGAGGCTTGACATTTTTACCCAACAAGGGGAGAAGGTTGCAGAATCTATTATAGCCACTCTTGTC